CATGCCTGTAGTCCCAGCTACTCGGGAGGCTGAGGCAGGAGGATCGATTGAGCCCAGGAGTTTGAGGTTGCTGTGAGCCAGGCTAACGCCACGGCACTCACTCTAGCCAGGGCAACAGAGCCAGACTCTGTCTCAAAAAAAAAAAACCTATTGGGAAGGAAAAAGTATAACAAAACCCAAGCGGCTAGGATTGTAGTCACTGAATGTCAGCCGTGCTTGAGTAGCAAGGCAGCAAGGGGCTTTAACCGTGTCATGAAAGGAAGCGTCAATGTCTGGAGGAGGGCAGTGCCATCAGAGGGGACCGAAGTGACTGCGCTGGGCCTGTGGAGACTGGCTGGAGACTATGTGACTGGGACCCGGTGGCTCCGTCTCACTCGGGGGCCACGCTGGCTCTGCCTCAGCATCCAGCGCTGCGGCGCTCTGCCTGGATTTGCGTTTTGTGTCGAAGCCAGATTCCCTGTGGCAGCCTTGCCCCTGCTCGTGCTTGGCCACCCAGCACTGTTAGGTTGGCTGGCGTTGCTCTGCACGTACCTGTGAAAGCCGCCACGTTAGTTCCAGACATGCTGAATGTTCAGAGCATCGGCTCCTGGTTACGTTAGACCTGCTGCCTGAATGGTGCTGGGCGTTTGCAATTTGCCTTCCCTGGTGCTCTCCACAGCCCTGAGCCTGAGTTCGGAGCCGGAGGTGGTGCCTCACCAGGGCCCTGAAGAGCGGGCAGGAGCATCTCTGTCAGGGAGGCAAGAGAAGTACCACCCAAACGTGTGGCAGCCACAGTGGGGACAGCAAGTTGTTAGTGCGACTGGGAGGGTGGAGCAGGCCATCTGCTCTGGCTGGCATCCTGCTGAGGAGGCCGAGCCCTGTATGAGGGCCGGGGCAGCAGAGGTCCTCAGAAGTGCCCGTGGCGGGAGGCGGCACCTCAGCCCCCGACACCTGCTGCGGGTGGTCCTGACGGGACCTGTGTCTGGCAAAGGTCTGGTACTGTGCTGTCAAGCCCCGGGCGGATGTGCTCCCCAGCCCCACCTCTCAGGAGGCTCCATCCCTCTTCGCGCTCCTCTCTGCTGTCATTGGTGCTGACGAGGACATTCTACTTAGCCCTTGGGACCAAACCTGGTCAGAAAAAGTGATAATAATAGAGGGCACTCCCACAGTCCCAGGTGGAGGTTTTGTAAGAATGTCTTTCATTTTCCCTTTCTTTGTGTGAAATAAGGGAACACTTTGCAGTTGATAAACTGTTAGCCCAGTAAAATGGACCTAAAATCTCCCAACAGTGATGCCTCCACATGAATTCCAAGAAGTGCCCCAGCCCTACCCGTCTTCATGCTGAGTGATGATCAGTTACTGAACTTCCCACGTACTTTACCTTACGTTCATTCATTCATCACAAGTTTAACTGATGGCCACTTACGTGCCAGGTGAAGTGCTGCATGCGCGGAATGGACTGCGAGAGTGACAACTCCTGCCCCTGTCTCGTGGAGCATACATTCTAGTGGGAGGAGGTGGAATGTAGATGGGAGGGGCTGGGGAGTGCAGCGTGGTGGGGGAACAGAACTCCAGAGAGCATCAACAGGCAGTGCAAAGGCCCTGGGGCCCTCCCCATGCCTGGGGAGCTCAGGGGAGAGGAACGAGGCTGGTGTGACTGGCACCCGACAGCAGGGCTGGAATAGTAGGTGCCAGGCACTGTTGCAAGCACTTGACACAGAATGCACTTGTTTCCTGTAACAACCCCAGGAGCAGGGTACTGCTATTAACCCTGCTTCACTGCTGAGGACATAGCCATCAGGAATTTGAGACTTCTCATGATTATCCAGTTAGCGAGGGGCAGAGCCCAGGCTTTAAACCCAGGCAAGTCTGGCTCCAGCGTCTGTGGTCTTCACTTGGTCCTGCGCTCTGAGGCCCAAGGTAGGAAGGGAGGGAAGTAGCAGAGGCCAGAGCACAGGGCCTGCTGCAGGTGTGGACACTGGGCTGTATCCTGAGTGAGGACATGCGAGATGGGCAGGGGAAACCTAGGGAGTCTTCATTTCACATCCTGTGAGCTTTTCCACTCTCCTTGTGAGCTGACGGCATTGTCTGCCTCTGGGGACTGTGGAAATGACCTTGAGAAGACTTTTTGCCAGAGGCCAGGCAGGGTTTCTGCACAGCCCCCCTCTGGGGTAAAGGGCCAGAACGGGAGGCTCCAGATGCATCCTGTAGACAAGGACAGGCAGAGCCACCTGGGCGAAATCACAGCTTTCTCGGAGGTCAGGAGCAAGTCACAGGACAGTTGCATAGCTTCACACCGGGAACGTGGCTGGCCCTTTCCAGGTTGCTGTGCTAAGTAAAGGTGTGGCAGGAGGCAGCCTCCTGGCTGGAGCCCAAGGCCGTGCTCCAGGCAGGGCCCGCCTGCGCAGGGGAGCACCACCCTGGCGGGTGCGCCCTCCACGTTGCCATCGCCCAGTGTGGAGAGTACACACGCTGGTATCAGAAAACAGGCCTGTGCTCCAGGACTGAGCGCTTAGCTGAGAAAGTGGAACTCGTGCCTGCCGAGAACTGTGACAACTGAGCTGTGTACCCCGAACAGTGGGGGATGCATGGCATTGACGAGACCAAAGAAGTGTGACCCTGTGGGGCCATCAGGGACCCAGCAGCCATGCTGTAGGAGTGAGAGTATTAAGTGCTCCAGGTCATTCTTACAGCCCATGGGATTTTGTTCCTAGCCTTGGGGAGAACAGACCTAGGGACAAACCTGGGGCAGTGGCCCAGATCTGAGAAGGCTGAGCCGCCTGTAGCGGCCCGGGCGATTCCTAGGTCCATACTGCCTGCGGTCCCCTGGAGCATCCAGGCAGCTGCTTCTCAGAGGAGCTACACAGCACACCCACCTCTCCTCCTGGGTGGCCACCCGTGGTGAGGCTGTACATGGGCTGTGAAGAGTGGGCACATTTTAAATGGACAGCAAGGTCCAGGGAAGTCTGTGAAGACAGATCTGGGGGCAGGGGTCTTCCTGAGAGCATCAGCTTTGGCCCACACCCATCTGTGGGCAAAGGAGTCTTGGCTTTGTGACCTCAACCACACATTTCTGGGCTTCACTTTCCCTATCGGCAAAGCGAATGGAGGGGCGAAATGTTGTCTTAGGACCCTTCCCACCCAGACCCCGTGTTTGTGCCCCCAACCTCAGCACACCCAGCAGTGTCTGGTACGCAGGAGACACCAGAATCATGGAGAGATGTCACTTAGACTTGGCCAGGTCTCTCGTCATTCTGCCACCTTGGTGACCAGAGGCCCGGCCTTTCCACGCATGGCCTGCGAGTTGGTGGCTCTGACTTGTCTTTGAAGTGCTGCTTCACTCTCACTCGCTCCCACTTTTCTTCCTTCCCTCCCTGGTCCTCTCGCTCTGCAGGAGGACTTCCGGAACAAAGTGGACGACTACATCAAGCGTTACGCCAGATGATGAAGGGGAAGCTTGCAGGCCCACGGACTGTGTTACAGTTTGTCTCTAACGTGAAACAGCAAGAGGTAGCCCCACCTCTTCCCCGTCCTCACGCTCCCTCTCAGTCCCACTGGATTGTCCCAGCCCTGTGACCATGTTGTCCTGAAGAAGACCATCTTCATGACTGCCCGTTGTAGATGGAGAATTCCACATAAATACAGCAAGAACGTGTATTTGGGTTTCTAAAGAGTTGTCTGCTTACCTTAACATGTTTACTTTTTTGAAATTGTACTGTATAGGCTGTTGGTGAAATTCTTGAGAAGTTGTAATGAACTCAAAATTGAGGCTAGAGCTTGCTTACCCTTTCCCCAAACAAAATTGGTTTCCTGCACAAGTGACGCTAATGATGTGTTCAGTGTAACTCGCAGATTGGCAATAAGAAACCCGCTACAAACTGTGATTGGAGGCAAATTCTCTTAGCTTCTTCCACGAATGTTGGCCCTGCCTAGACATTGTGAAGCCTTCCAGAATGCATAGAGTCATTCACTGTAGATCTCTTATTGAAATGCGTATTTTATTTAATGTAAGTATATTTTGGAACAGATTTGTAATTTGTACAATTTAATGCTTTAATTATTTTTTCTATTCTCATTTAGTTTGTATTTTCATTGTATAGAGCAGACAGAAAGATGTTGGGTCAATCAACTATTGAAGAGAAATACAAAGAAACTATGAAAGACACATTATTCATTCTGTCCAAATGCAACAAGATTCTGGCTCTTAAAAGTCAGCTCTTGCTTTCAGGTCCAGATGTGGCAAGGACATTTTGGAGCCCTTTGAAGCCAGATCTGGATGATAAAAGCAAACAAACAAAAAGGCAGGGAGCCCATTCTCACATGCTGCCCCGAGGAAGCTGGCTGGATGCCGGACCAGATGGGGGCTGGTGTTGCGGTGTCATGTGGTCGGGAGCCAGTAGCCACTTACCAGAGCGCCAGACCCTCTCTGTCCTGAGAGGCAGGAGAGATACTCAGGAATCAGCCCAGACAGTGTCTGATGCCACTGAGACTGTGCCTGTGGCCTTCCTCTGAGTTTGCTGTGTTTCTGGCCCCTTCTGGGGGTGAGCCTGGGCCTTGGAGGAGCAGGAATCAGCAGTGCACGTGCCGTCCTCAGCCAGGTTCACGCTGCAGAGCAAGAGCCCCGAAGAGAGGCAAGTGGATTTATTCCAGTGTTTAGACCTTCGAACCAGTGAAGTCATATGCAAAATAAATGTTTGTCTGGTTTCATTTGCTGCCTGCCTAACACTCACATTTAACTGCCAGCCTCCTTAGACCTCTGGAGTCCCCAGTCTGCCATCTCCTGAGTTTAGTTGCTTTTCTTACAGAATCTCCGATTATGAGATCAATCTTCTGGAGGTCCAGCAGGTGAGGAGTGTGGGCCTTGCTTCCTGTCTGCAATCAGGAATTGTACCCGGTAGACTTGAGGGTGGCCCTCTGCTGATGGGCCACACATATGGGTGCCCAGAGCAGGGAGGGTGGGGCCGCATCAAGTGAACGGTGGCATCTCAGGGGCTCGGGGCCTGTCCGGGAGGCATGGTAATCCCCACCTCCCAAGGCCTGGGAGAGGTACTTACACACTTACCACGAGGCACCCTCTGCTAGGTGGGTCAGGAGGCCAGGGCAGCAGCTGTTCTGCCCATGCACCTGACTTCTGCCTCTAGTGACCCCGGAAATGAGGTTCTCTGCCTGATGCCGGTCCCAGGCCCGAGCCACGGCACATCCCATGGTAGCTGTTAGGGCTGCCCCTGAGCTGCCTGGCTGGTGGTGCAGACGTCGGTGGGGCTTTGTCATGAGGCACGTCTGTGGAAGAAATGATGCCAGTGCGTGTAGTTCAGTGGAAATGTTTATTCAGTGGAGGTGAAAGGCAGTGTGCCTCCGGATCACACTGAAAGCAATAATATCAGTTATTAATTCTGACCTCAAAATATGGCACAGTAGAAAAATGCTTATTGTCAGGAATGAAGCAATTCTTTAAAAATGACATGTCCGGATAACTGAATGATCCCATTCTGTCCAGTGGAAATCCTTCGGAGATATTTGGCACACGCACACCCTCCCGCCGTCTTAAGGCGCACACTCGGATGTGACCCAGCACCGTGAGCACTGCGTAGGTGCTCGGCCAGAGGGGCCCATGGGGCCTGTTGGTGACTGTAGGACCCACTGGCTTCTTGGTGTCTCCTCCTCACTCTGAGACCAAAATTACATTTCTGGCTCCAGTCCGTGTGCCCCTAACCAATCTGGTCATAGTTGATGAGGGGATGGGAATCCCTAGACGTAGCCAAAGAGGCCGACCTGGAGCAGATGGGAGTGGGCAGGGCCTTGGGGAAGTGAAGCTCTTGGGTAGCTCTGGCATCCAAAAACTTTGCTCCTGACTCCTGGTTCTTGGCTGTGCTCTGGAGGGTCCCCACAACTCCACTTCTTAGAATTTGAGGTGGCAGCTACATGCTATTTCAAGCACTCTTACAAGGAAACACTTCTAGGAGTGGCCTCTCAGAAGACTCACATCTCCCCTGTGATCTTCCCCTAGACATCCTACCAGCAGGTGACCTCGCCTTTGCAGTCTTCCTACTAAGCAGCCAAGGCAAGAGCATCACTCGGATGTTGAACTCGCATCTGGGCTCCGCGCCTGCTTGCCTTTTCCCCCACGGCCCTGGGCTTTCCTCCTCGTCTGTGGTGTGTTGCACATGCTGTATTGGAGTGTCGTGGAGCTCAAGCCCCCGGGGAGCAGTGCCTTGGGTTAGGTTGTCTCCACCTGCCCTCATCGCCAAACACTGGCAGCCTCGGGGGCTGCTTATATGGTTTCCACCAACTATGAATTAAGCCAGGTTGTGCACCTGCTAGAGGAGAAGCCACTCTACTGCAAAAATTCACGTCGAAACTGAGGAGGGCCACTCAGACTATTTCAGTGGCTAAAACATTTTAAAGTGTACATTTTCCCACAGGAACATGTTCCTTGGTATTCAACAGCTTAAATGTTTCAAAGTGCCTGTGCATATTTTCCTCTGTCCTTAGTTACTCGCACACTTGTCTGAAAAGACCCTGTGGGTACAGGAGTCGGCAGTGTTCTTCCCCGTGGCTTGGCCAAAGCCAGGCCAGTCTCATCAGCGTCCTGGCCCATGCAGAGGCCATCTGGTGGCAGACCCGGCAGAGAGATTGAATAGCCTCTCTGCCAGGCTCTAGACCTCCAACAGAATCCAGTGGGCAAACTCCCAGGCCGTGGTGATCACCAAAATCTGTTCCACATCTTCAGTGAACAAACCCCACTCCCTCTTTCTGGAGTCGTTCTCTTCCTGTCCCCCAACCCCTTCTTTAAAGAGCTGCTGTGAAAATTTCTCAAAACAGTTTGAAATCGATCAGTTCCAGTTTCTTCTGGACACTAATTTAGGCGCATTCTGATTTACCTTTGTTAAATAGAACCTCCTTACTCCCTAAAAGGTTTTAAAAATAAGTCACACATTCCTGTTAACATCAGACTTTTAGCTGATAATTAAACAGATTTTTCTTTATGTAAAAATTCCGACAAGAAGATGTAAACCACCAATCTAGGATTTTCACTTTCATCCACATGTTTAATCTTGGAAATTCAGGTTTGCTTCAAGTTCACTCTTCTTTATAAAACAAGTGTCCAGTAAAATACTAATATATGGTCTTAGTATTAGTAAAAGGTTTTACTTTTCCTTTGCCAAAGAACTGGAAAAATGAGAAACCCTGTCACACCTCTCTTTTCTCCCTCCTGTAGCCCTGCTTCAAATAGAAAACGTCCAACAGCTTGGAGGGGCTGATTCAGAGACGTCTGTATCGCCCATCTACTCTGTCTTGCCTTGCGTTTCCGTGGGTTACTAAAATTGATTGATTGAAAGACTTGTGGTTTAAAAAAGTCTTCAGAAAATGCAATGATGGAGGGGTCTGGGGACCTTGCCTTGTTAAGAATGTCTGTTCGCATTGAGTTGTACAAAGAACTGAACGGCCCCTTCAAAAAATTCAGTTTAGGGCTCATTCATTTTCATTGCTAAATTACTGAACCAGAGTTCTTCCAGAAAATTTACTGTTTTTTGTTGTTGTTGTTGTTGTTTAGCTTATTTCAGGGCCAGTTGGAAACGACAGTGCGTGTCTCAGGAGTTTCTGGTGCTGGAGGAGAAGAGACCTGTGAACAGGGCCCCCATGCACGATCAGCTGGGATAAGTATTTGTCAGCGAGGCAGCAGTAACCAAGAGAGGTAGATAGTAGCCGTGGTGCCTTAGCACTTCATTTCTTCTCACTGAGCCTTTGGTCCACAGTTCACTTCTGGGGATGTGTTCCCCCTGCTCTGGTGACCTGTGTGATGCCTGGGGCCTCCTGTGGCCTAGGAGGCGTCCTCTACCTGTATTTGTTGTATTTTTTGGTGTTGGATTTTCATGACCTTGGTGTCTGACCTCACGACCTTCCTAGCACCTCATCACTCCCCTGCAGTGCATGATGCTTGATGCTGGAAGACTATTTTGTCTCAAACCAGGCATCGATGTTACCAAATGTCTCTTCTCAAAAAAATTTTATCCCAGCCTCAATGGCCCTATTCACCTGTGTCCTTCCTTCCCCCAGCCATGGTGAGGTTGAGGAGCCACAGCCGGGTGCAGCACTGTAGGTTAATAGCCTTCTTTCCTATTCCTGAGAGGTTTCAGCCTCAAGTTAGTCTAAAAAGAAACCCTGTCTCCCTGGGGAGCGCTGCGGCGAGGAGCTCTAGATGTAGCAGGAGACACAGGTGGAGCCCAGTGACTCCAGGGGTCCCACTAACATCACTGCGTGCTCTGCCAGACCAGTAACAGTGGCACGCGACAGAACCTATAATCTGTGTAAGGAAGAGCCGGCCAGACATCCGGATGAGGCCAAAACAAACTAAGGGGGACGGCCTCCCCACATCCTCCCACTTCACTGCCAGGCCGGTTTCTAAAACACATCTTTGACCATGTCGCGTCTGCCTCTTGCTTCCAGGGCAAGCATCCCTGTGCCTGGCATGCAGAGCCCACTGTGACTGGGCCCATCTACCCTGCCAGCTGCTGCCCCGAGAAGCCTTGCCTGAAAGTGGTGCTGTCATGCCCTGGGAGAAGGTCCACTCCCCCAAGACACTCAGCTTCCCTGTTGGGGCCCCGTCCAGGATTCAGTTCCCATGGTGTCGCAGCTATGAAGCTGTTCCGCTCCTACAGGCAGACACACACTTCCTGAGGTGTCCTCTTCTTTCCCAGGCGCCCAGAAGCACCGAGGATGTGGACAGCGTTCGTTCGCATATGTATTCCTGCCTCTCTGAGGAGTCAGTCTGTATCTGGAGTACGGGCCTTCGCTTAGCCAGCGGCAATGACTGGACAGTTACTGCAATGCGATTATTTAATGTGGAGAAGCTTAGGGCACAGTACAGCAGACGCAAGTGTGCGCCAGGCAGTGGCCGAGGAGAGCATCTGGCACCACCCTCCCGCCAGCTGACAACGCCAGGTCTGAACAGAGTTTGCTTTGCTTGAGTAAGTAAGTCTGCAAAAAAGTACTGCAGAAAAGGAGAAGTAATATGCAGGAGATTCTGAGGATAAACATGACTCTGGAAATGAAGTGTAGGATCAAAAAAAATTTAGGGAAGAAAATCCACGTTTAGGAAAATGCAGTAAACTGTACCTTTGACTCAGAATAAAAAAGTCCTAAGTAGACAGTAGACCAAAG